TCTTTCGTAAATCCAAGAATTTCACCTCTGACAACGAAATACGAATGCCCCCAACTGTCCCTATTAATCATTACTTCGGTTCCAGAAACCAACGGAAAATAGAACCAAAGTCCTATTCCAGTATTCCATGCTTATGTATCCAAGCACAAGCCTGCTTTGAACACTCTAATTTTTTCAAAGTAAACGTCGCGTATCCAACGCACACTCAGTTAAGAGCACGCGAAGTCTGCGCGAAGAAGGCCAACGTCGACAGTGACATACCTTGCGGCTGACCGTCGCCGTCGAGCCCGAAATCCAACTACGAGCTTTTTAGCTGCAACAACTTTACAATACGCTATTGGAGCTGGAATTACCGCGGCTGCTGGCACCAGACTTGCCCTCCAATTGGTCCTCGTTAAGAGATTTAAATTGTACTCATTCCAATTACAAGACTACAAAAAAGCCCTGTATTGTTATTTTTGTCACTACCTCCCCACGTCAGGATTGGGTAATTTGCGCGCCTGCTGCCTTCCTTGGATGTGGTAGCCGTTTCTCAGGCTCCCTCTCCGGAATCGAACCCTAATTCTCCGTCACCCGTTACAACCATGGTAAGCCACTACCTTACCATCGACAGTTGATAGGGCAGAAATTTGAATGAAACATCGCCGGCACGAACAGAGAAGGCCATGCGATTCGAACAGTTACTATGAATCACCAATTGGGTAAGCGGCCGTTAAGCCGCATTGGTTTTTAATCTAATAAATACATCCCTTCCACGAGAGTCGGGACTTTTCGCATGTATTAGCTCTAGAATTACTACGGTTATCCAAGTAGTAAGAGAGTACAATCAAATAAACGATAACTGATTTAATGAGCCATTCGCAGTTTCACAGTACAAGTGCTTATACTTAGACATGCATGGCTTAATCTTTGAGACAAGCATATGATACTGGCAGGATCAACCAGTTAACTATACGTCGTTCGCACCAAGCGTATCGTGCCGAAACACGAGCCGCTCGTTCGTTCGATCGTACAACTATAATTTTTTTTTGCCACGTCTTTCATCGCGCTCGGCACAAGCGACCCGTTTTGGAAACACGGCCGACTGTGTCGCACGCACGTAGATAGTCGAGTAGCACTAAGCACCCCCCAACTATACATTCGTCACATCTCGCTTGGGACATTGTCCAAGGGACAGGATACACAACATTCGATGAAAGCGAGATTTCTTTTTTTTTAAAAAACCTAAAAAAAATACGTATTCGCCCAATGGTGGCGAAGGAAGCGTCGACGTTCTTTCTCGTTCGTGAAAACAAGCTGAGCCAACGCTTCCCCTGCCACGTCGAGCGACAGGCATTACTAACTCGCACTCGATTTCATGAAGCCAATGCTCCACGAGTACACCGTTCAGACTGCCCCATCGCTTTAACCGCAGCAACATCCTCATAACAATTCTGTTATAGACTCTCCGAAACGGTCTGCACGAGAATCAAAATTTCAACTCTTGTCACTCGGTCCCTAAGAGAGTCGAATTTAAGATTGTTCTTCTCCGAAACGGCGGCCAGTGGGAGAATCGAGCATTTCAAGTTCTTTTCACCTCGGTCCGTAAGAGGGTCGAATTGAAAATGCTCTCACCGAAACGGGCGGAAAATCGAAAAATCGAAAAAACCGTAACGGCGGGAGAATCGAGCATTTCAAGCTCTTCTCGTGTCAAATACTTACTCGTGTTTTGTGCTTATATAGTAGGGTTGCAAATTACTTTGTTATTGAACCTAAGAACAGCAAGAAACAAATTCGTCCAGGAAAACATGGGAATATAATCTTTATCTGCCCCTGCCAATGCTAAAATAAGTTAACATAGAAACGAGGCCATTGGGTAAAAGAGAATAATCGGTAAGGTCTATTCAGTGTATTCTATACAGCGGAACGCTGAAAGTCGTAACAAATATTACTTTCTTATAGTAAACCAGCATGCATTAGCGTATTTTTCAAATTGAGCTGGTAACTTCAATGTTAACGATTTTATAATTACTACATATAAATGAATATCATTGTATTAATAAGGTAGTAAGGGAAGAAGTAACTTTCAAACATTGGTCTTTGACCTCTTTGTTATGCTCTAGGATATATAAACTATATATGAAATATAAACGAAATATAAAAAATATGAAAAATATGAAATATAAACGTAGTGTTACTCAGTATATAAGTATAGGTAATAGCATGGTTTCGAGTGCAATTTGGATATAACATGCACGAGTGAGTTTTTCAAAGACCTCAAAATAGCACGAGTCCGAAGGACGAGTGCGATTTGAGGTCTTTGAAAAACTCACGAGTGCATGTTTATCCAAATTTCACGAGAAACCATGCTATTACTTATTAATAATTTACATAAAAATGTTCGAGACAATTGTAGTTTTAACTTACGCGTTTATAGCGAACATTCCACCGGCAAACTTTTCCTGGCTTTGTTATATCACATCATGCAACGCTAACAGCTTGAAAACTCCACTCAACTATGTAATTTTTGTTAGTCTTGTTTAAGGTTAATGCTTTTCCATTTAAAAATAAAGATAAAAGCCATATTTTTCACGCGAAAGCAACTTTTACTTCACTGTAGCGCGGCGCCATGTTTGTTTTGTTTTGAAGCAATCTGTGACCGTTACTTCTTTAAACTAAATTGCTTTAAGGTGGCTCCCTAGGGTTTTTTAATTTACTACACTATAGTATTCAGGAGACTCCTGTTTCTTCACTTTACATGATATGAAAACGAAATTTATTGGACACATTGACAATGTTCTCCTGAACATTAAAAATTGCAACTTTTGTGTTAAAAATCTGTTGTCATGGCAACAACATGCTTAGAATAAAGCCCAAAATTTGTCTTTTTCAGGTTATTTTAAAAATTCCCTTCGGTGAAATTTTTTAAAACTTTGCATAAAAGGTCATACTTGTATAATGATTTTTTCCCCTCAATTTAAAAAAATTAAATCGATACGTTTCTTAGAAAATTTAAAAAACGTCAAAAATCAATATTAAAAATTTTCCCTTCGATTTAATTTTTTTAAAAAAGGATATTTCACTTGCTGTGCCGGTACTAAAAAATGTGCAAAGTTTTAAAAAATTTTACCGAAGGAAAACGGAGAAATTTGGGATTAATTTTCGCAATTTTACTAGATTTTTACGCGAACAATTTAATACCCCAAC